GCGTGGGCGCGCGCGCGCACGCGCAGCGCTGCGGCAAAAAAAATCTGTGCTAGGCCCCAAGCCCGGGGCCTACACGAAGGGGAAGGTGCCCTCTACGCAGTTACAGGTCCGGCGTCAGTGACAGATTCCTGGTGTCGGGTGGCACCCGCGTTAGGGTGTCTATATATGGAAACCCACCCGAAGCTGGTCTACCTCGAGCCAGATCCTGCGCCTGGTCCTGCAGCGGCACTCCACCCAAGGTCTCTCAGGCCGGCCTCACCCTTTGACTGCATCCTTTGCACCTTCTTATCTGCACCCACCTTTTACAATAGAAGCATCAGATTAATCATTGACTGGGGCTCACACTGTGTCGCGTGCACTGCGCTATAGCCCCACATTGATTTCATTCATCTTTTATTACCTCTCCAAGATACGACTTCTTTGCCCGTATTTCACGGATGGAGACGCTGAGGCAGAAATTCATTTTCTCCCTATCTAGTTATCAAAGGGCATCGTCATCATCTGATTCATCCCAAAGCCAAAAGCTATTCACTGGGAATAGCCGTTTGGGAGTCCAAATGATCAACAACAAAATCCTGCCACAGACTGGCCACAACAGTATTACCTCAGTAATCAACTACCTGGAAAATCTGCTTGAAATTGTTCAGGCTCTAAAGCCTGGTGAGCTTGTTCACATCAGAGCACCTACTGCTCAGACAGCCTCGCCTCGAGGGACATTAGAGAGAAACTGCAGAGTTGTCATGGGGAGCTGAGGGAGGGATCTTTATCCATTTATGTTTCCCATAAGCCTGCAGGGAAAATTCAATGAATAAATGATTCAGTCACTTTTTTAGTACCCCCCATGCCCTGATAATGAATTGTTTTTAGCTTAGACAAACAACTAACATTTATTGACATTTCTTTGATACTGTTTAATTTTATGAAACATTAAAAAAAAATTCAAGTTCTCTTTTGTCTATTGAAGAAGAAAGGGGGAGGACCCTGAGCATGGCAGTACACATCTGAAATCCCAAATCTGAAATTTGGGAGGCTAGCCTGGGCTACAATGGATGATCCTATCTTTAGAAACAAGAAAAATGAACAGGAAATTAGAAGGAGTACAAACCATTTTTTTTTCCTCTTGTCTTCCCTTCTCTTCACCCTGTCCTTTGTCACCCACCCTTCCCTGTCCCCAACTAGGTCCAGCATGCCAGCAAACAGATCAGTGCAGACAAACAGTACAAGGGCATCATTGATTGCGTCGTGAGAATCCCCAAGGAGCAGGGCTTTCTCTCCTTCTGGAGGGGTAACCTGGCCAATGTGATCCGGTACTTCCCCACCCAAGCTCTCAACTTCGCCTTCAAGGACAAGTACAAGCAGATCTTCTTGGGGGGTGTGGATCGGCATAAGCAGTTCTGGCGCTACTTCGCCGGTAACCTGGCTTCCGGTGGGGCAGCTGGTGCCACCTCCCTCTGCTTTGTCTACCCGCTGGACTTTGCTAGAACCAGGCTGGCTGCCGATGTAGGCAAGGGATCTGCTCAGCGAGAGTTCAGTGGGCTGGGCGACTGTCTCAGCAAGATCTTCAAGTCTGATGGTGTGAAGGGTCTCTACCAGGGTTTCAGTGTCTCTGTCCAAGGCATCATCATCTACAGAGCTGCCTACTTCGGAGTCTATGACACTGCCAAGGGTAAGGGAGGGACTTTGAGGTGGAAGGTGTGGGGAGGAGGTATGGAGAGAGGGTTCTGTATGACCTATAGTTTCCACAAAGACCTTTGTGTTGGGTAAATCAATAACCAAAGGAACCTCTTTGTCCTCTACTGGTGGTACTGTGGCTTTAAGCTACTCACAGCATTGTAGAGCTATCCCAAAACAGCTGTCTAGTTGAACTAGAAGGGAGCTCCATGTCAGTAGAGCTGTAGCTTCCCTGCATTAAGGGAAGGCAGCAGCCAACTTTGGTTGGCTACCTGGTTTTGTGGAAAGGGTTCCTTGGGAGGAGCCAGTTCTTGTGGAAGGGTAGCACACGGAGTTGGGTCAGTAGCCTTGTCTTCCTCTCCACCTGCTTTTCTTTCTTTCTTTCTTTCTTTCATTCAACCAATCTGATGAGAAAAACACCTGATAGCCATTTGCTTCTTGGCTCTGCACACAGGGATGCTGCCAGACCCCAAGAATGTGCATATTATTGTGAGCTGGATGATCGCCCAGAGTGTCACGGCGGTTGCAGGGCTGGTGTCCTATCCGTTTGACACTGTTCGTCGTAGGATGATGATGCAGTCTGGCCGGAAAGGGGGTAAGCATGACATGTATTCTGCTGATGTGAATCTTAGGTTTTACCCCAGAGAGCACTCTTTAAGTGCCAAGAAACTTGAGTTTTTCTAAACTGAATGGTAAAATTACTCAATAAAGGTTTAGGAAAATCGAGACTATAATTTCCCCTTTAGCTTTCCCTTCAGGGATTTTTTTTTTTTTCCCCTAGAAGTGCTGAATGAGAGAGAATGAATTAGCTGGATGAGAAGTGGCCTGAAGCAGTCTGCTTTGATAGTTTTAGCTTCCATAGGTTAAAGCATGAAACTGCAATTCTTAAAAAATAAGCACACCCCAAATGTGAGGGAATTTTGTGTAACCCAATAGTCATACCTTTTACTTTTCTTCCATAATCTTGGGCAGTATAATCTGAGACCAGGGCCAGTTTGTTCTTCCATAAAAAGTCATCCACAGAGTATAACACTCCTTCCCCACATTGCCTTCCAATTTTAGTCTGACGGTGTGTACATTGGTTGTTTAATTGCTCCAGTTTTTACTTAGCTGATCTTGGGCTTGGGGAATAGGGATGCTAGAGATAGCCTAACAGTGATGAAAGGAAGATGTCTCATTGACTGTTGCATAGGCAGGGGCTTGATGAGCTATAATAACAAGTGGTACATGCAGGTCTTTAAGAAAGGAGCCCTTATCCACATTTGTCTCCACAGCTGATATTATGTACACGGGGACACTCGACTGCTGGAGGAAGATTGCAAAAGATGAAGGAGCCAACGCTTTCTTCAAAGGTGCCTGGTCCAATGTACTGAGAGGCATGGGTGGTGCTTTTGTATTGGTGTTGTATGATGAGATCAAAAAATATGTCTAAAGTCATTAAAACTCAAGTTCACTGGTCCACAGTGGACTTGGCTCACAAGTTCACAGATCCATTGTGTGGTTTAATAGACTATTCTTAAGGAAATAAAAAGACAGATCTTGGATAAAACCAGACCATAAGGAATACCTCAGAAAAATGTCTCATTGAGTATTCATTAAACCACAAATGTATTTTGTATTTATTTTACATTTAGATTCCCACAGCAAAACAGAAGATAGCTTATCATACTTGTTCAATTAATTAACTGAAGAACTGAGAATGAAAAAAAATAACCAGATGTGAATCATTAATAAAGACTACTCAATACACTTTATCTCCCTGAACTCATTAACTGCTAACAGATAAAAAAGCATTAACACATATTTTCTAGCAGGATGCATTTGTCAGTGACTGGCTCCTCTCTGCATGCCCTATACTGAACACGTGCTATAGCTGTCTTTCAAACATAAGCAGGTCATGGACTATCTTACCACACTGTTGTGGAAGGCTTGTAAGTGGTAACATGAACAGAGTTTCCATGGTCTACTGTGTGCACTTTCACGCAGTCCTTATGGACTTCAAGCATAAGCTTTGCAATCATAGAGGTGGGAATGTTGCATGCTTAGGAAGTGCTCTGCTTTTTTAGTTCCTGCACAGAATCCGTTTCCCTAGAAATTTCTAACAAGTCAACAATCTTCACTGAAGAACAGTTGTCTTAGTTTGAGCTGGGGTGACAAAGTGCCACATGCTGACTGGTTCATAAAACAACATATTCCTCACTGTTCTAAAGCCTCAGAGTCCATGAGGATCAACTCTGGTAAGAGCCACCTGACTTTCAGAACCTTCTTGGTGGGAAGAGATCAAGAGCGCTCCCTGGAATCCCCTTTGAAGGATATTAATCACAGTGACAAAGGCTCCATGCTGTGATCTAATTTCTTCCAAAGGACCTGTTTCCTAATACTGTCATCTTGAGGGTTAGTGGTTAAATTCCAGGGATGGGGGCACATCCAACATTTACTTCCTTGGTATCAGTTATTGAGCTAGTATTTAATGCCTGGGACACTCAGTGAACCTGTCCTGAACCTAAGTGGGGCAGAAGATGAAATGGTATTGTTAGGTTGTTTGATACAGTAAACCTTGATTGGGAATAAACAAGTAGGGGGTGAGGCAGGAGGGGGATGATAGGAGAGGGGATCTTGAAAGAAAGTAACTAGATTTAGGTGTACAAAGTATCTCCTTGTACTTTCTGTAACAGCTTAAGAACAAGGAGGAACACCTGTTTGGACTTGACTTTTCAGAGAAAAATAGAAATTTCAAGATGGGACAACAGTAGAGGGATGGCTCAAAGTTAAAAGCACTTAGTGTCGTGTTGAGAGCCTGGGTTTGGTTCTAGCATCCACATGGATCCCCAGTTGCAGGAGTCATGTGCTCCCTGGTCTCCCCAGGCCGTAGGCATGTAAGTGTTGCACAAATCACATGCAGGCAAAATAAACAGAAAATAGCTGTTTATTTGAAATTTCAAGAGGGAAAACGGGTGCCTCTGGACCAGAAAAAGAGCAGTTAATATAGTCCCAATTTGTGTCCAGTCTGCAGGAAAAGACCACAGATTAGGGGCAAAACTTGGAAAGAAGACAAATGTCTGCTTTGTGCATTTCCTGATAAAGAGCTTTGGGTTGTGCTATCCACTGTCTGCCTTGTTTTTGCCAGAGCAACCTAGAGGGAGGTAGGTAGGTGTGTGTGTGTGTGTGTGTGTGTGTGTGTCTAGATGAATGGAAAAATTAAAAAAAAAAAAAGATGTCAATCTTGTCTCCCAAGGACAAGGAGCAAATAGTGCTTGCTAGAGCCATTCCAGATACATTACTTTGCATTCTAGAAGTTAGTTATGTTTCTGACAGATAAAAGCAGCACAGGCTAGTAGGAAAAATACCTTTGCATTGCATATCTAAAACTAGGGCTGTCCCTTGCAACATTTCCAAACTTAAGTGCTTAGACTGACAGGCCATGAAATGTAATTGGGAAGTGACTGCAGGGAACAAAGAGTAGGTCATCACAGCCCAACCAGGAGCCAGATTGTTTTCTAGCGACTGCCCCCACCCCCACCCCCAACGCAGTGAGGAGCAGAGTGGAGGAATTGGCTGCATGTTAAACTGCACATCATCTGCAGTATACGCATGACCTAGTTGCAGGCTTCCTCCTGCTTGCTGAGGTTAAATCCTGCTCTGCCTAAGGCCTGCTGAGATGGTTCCACTATAGCTACTCCACTCAACAGGAATTCCTAGAACGAAGCCAGTGACAGAAGAATGTGTGACCAGGCAGGGAGGATAGGCAGACAGGATCCTCCTGCTGTCCTACATCACTGTACAAAGCTCTCAAGCCTCAAGGTCTGGGAAAGGGAGTCACATTAAGGTGAAAAGCTAGGATCCCATGCCAGACTCTAAAATCCCATCTCTGTGACATTACTCTAGACAAACTAGACATTATCTCGTGTGAGATAAACCATGGACTCTTAACTCTAGAGGGAGGTGCTTGCTGCCAAACCTGAAGACCTGAGTTTAATCCCTCGGGACTCACTTGATAGGAGAAAACTGGCTCTTAGAAGTTGTCCTTGGACTGATCATATGTGCACTATGGCACATACATGTCATACCCCCAAAATAAAATAAAACCACAGATGCCCACAGCCTCAAGATTCTCCATAAATGGATTCAAAACACAGGTACTGTCACTGGAGAGATTGCTCAGTGGTTAAGGACACTTACTGCTCTTCCAGGACCCCAAATCATTCAGTTTCAAACACCCATATCTTGCAATTTACAACCACTTGTAACTCTAGCTTTAGGGAATCCCCAGGTAACCCTGCATGCATGTGGTACACTGGGCAAACACACATGAATAAACAACAAATCTTCACAAAAACATCCCAACATAAATCAGAGACAAAAGCAAGAAAATGAACTGAAGTAATCAATGTGTCACCAGAACAAAGTTACATATTATTTTAAAAGGTAAAAAAAAGAAAGAAAGAAAGAAAGAAAGAAAGAAAGAAAGAAATTAAGAGAAAAAGATGCCAAATACAGCAGGTCAAAAATAATGCCAAGGAGAGGAAAAGGCTTTGTTTGGCATCTGTCCTGGCTAGTTTCACATCAATTTGACACAAGCTAGAGTTGTCAGAGAGGAGAGCCTCGGTTGAGAAAATGCCTTCAAAAGATAATGGCTGTAGGCAAGCCTGTAGGACAATGGTTCTCAACCTTCCTAAGCACATGGCCTGGTTGTGCTATGACCCTTCAATACAGTACTTCATGTTATGCTGACCCCACAACCATAAAATTATTTTGTTGCTACTTCATAACTAACTTTGCTACTGTTGTGAATTGTAATTAAATATCTGATATGCAACACCTGTGGGGTCAAGACTCACAGGTTGAGAACCACTGATATGGGGCATTTTTTTTTCCCTCAGTGATTAATTGGGGAGGGCCCAGCCCATTGAGGGTGATGCCATCCCTGGGCTATTGGTCCTGGGTTCTTTTAAGAAACCAGGCTGAGCCAGCCATGAGGAGCAAGCCAGTAGCAAGCACACCTCTACATCAGTTCCTACCTCCAGGTTTCTGCTCTGCTTGAGTTCCTGTCCTGACTTCCATTCCTGATGAACTGTGATGTGGAAGTATAGTCTGAATAAACCCTTTCCTCCCCAAGCTGCTTTGGTCATGGTGTTCCCTCACAGCAATAGTGACCATGACTAAGACAGCATTTGACAAGTTGCCATTAATGATCTGAATTCATTCTGGCAGTAAGGAGGTTAAGCTGGGTCTGGTGATTTGAATGAAAATGGCTTCCATAGATTCATGCACACATTTGAATGTTTGGTCCCTAGTTGGTAGAACTGTTTGGGGAAGGATTAGGAGGTGTGGCCTTGTTGGAGGAAGTGTGTTACTCAGGGTGGGCTTGGTGGTTTCAAAAGCCATTTTGTCAGGCCCATCTCTCTCTGCCTCCAACTTGTGGATAAAATGTAAGCTCTCAGCTACTGTTTCAGAGCCACGCCTGCCTGCCTTCGGCCAGCTTCCTGCCATGATGATCATGGACAAACTCTCTGAACTGTAAATAAACCCCAAATTAAATTTTTTACCATAAATTTGTTCATAGTGTTTCCTCACAGCAATAGAACAGTGACTAAGACACTAGGTATTCTGGTTTCCTTTCTCAGTGATAAAATACTTTGAGTTAAAGTAACTATGGGTGGAAAGGATTTACAGTCTAGCCCTGAGGGAAGTCGAGGCAGAAACACAAAGCAGGAAATTGAAAGCAGCTTTGTTTGCTTATACACAAAGTTACCTCCAACTAGGGAGAAATCACAGCTGTGGCTGGCCCATGTTTAGTTTTTTCCTACATAGCCCAGTACCACCTGCCCTGGGAATGGGGCCACCCACAGTGGACTGAACCCTCCTACATCAATTGACAAGACAATCCCCCACACCATGTCCACAGGCCAATGTGGTCTAAATTCCCCACTTTGGATTCTTTGCTCAAATGGCTTTAGGTCTTGTCAAGTTGACAGTTAACTATCCAGAACAACAGGTTTTTGAAATCATAGGGAATTGTGGGAGGAGGGGGGAGATACTCACCCCACAACCCTTGCCTAGGACTACTACTGGACAAGGCAGTACGTGAACACTTTGTTGCCACAACCAACCTGGCTCCCATGGAAGAAGACATTGCACGTTAGCTCTCTCTCACAGGGACACAGTTTCTGACATACACAACTTGGGGTGAATTGGCTTAGGGTTTCCTAGGTATCAGTCCCCCATGGTGGACAGGATGTGGTGGAGCTGAATAATCACATCGTGGCAACCAGGAAGCAGGAACTATTGGAAGAGGCTGGGAAGACAGGGCTCACAGGCCGTGTCTCGGGGATACATGTCCTCCAATCACATACCACCTGCTACCTTACACCACCGCCCAGTGCTGCCAGCCTGTATGGAGTCTATCAAGGAATTGATTGAGAGCCCTTGCAATCTGTCTCCAGAAACAGCAGCATAGACAGAAAATGTACTTTTCTGGTCTGGGCGTTTCTCAATCCAATCAAGTTCTAGGACTATTACAAGAGAAAGACAATCAGAAGCATCTGATGCGACAACTTCAGAATACAGTTAGCCCCTAGAGGGATAGTGAGAATAAAAGAGAGTGACTTGTGGCTGTGTTAGTACAGATTAGATAGACAGGCCAGGAGTGCTGTGTACACAAAGATGACCAGACATGTCAGTACACAGAGTGCAGGAATGCCTGCTCACATTGGTTGGGTGTACATTTCAGTAAACAGAGTGCAGGAATGCCTGCTCACATTGGTTGGGTGTACATTTCAGTAAACAGAGTGCAGGAATGCCTGCTCACATTGGTTGGGTGTACATTTCAGTAAACAGAGTGCAGGAATGCCTGCTCACATTGGCTGGGTGTACATGTCAGTACACACAGTCCAGGAATGCCTGCTCACATTGGGATCTCAGAAAAGACGGGTTGAAAGAGCACCATGGACAGAAGGACAGGTGTGTAAAGTTCAAATCAGATTCATCAGAGTAGGAAAATACAGAAGGGCAGCTAGGGCATCAGGTACAGACATCTCCACCCACCCAAGGAAAGAAAAACCAACACATATTGAAGATGAACTGGTAAAAGTAGAGGGGATGCATAGCAAGAGGGCTACTGACCTCTATCCATCATTCTTCTAATTTAATCATTTGAGTACTCACACTGCTCAGCCCTGAAGACAAGTATGGAGTCTGCCCTATCAGATTGCTTTATGGGAGCTGCTTCTGGAGCTCTCATAGTGAGCAGATGTTAGTTAACAAGTAATGGCAGAGGCAGGAGGCATAAATGGCCTAATGGGCAGTTTCAGACTCAGCATGACAAAAGGCTGTGAGATACATTATTCTGTGTCCTGGAAGTAGTTCTGAAAGACAGCTTTGGGATCTATCAAGATGACTTGGTGGGTAAAAACACTTGGCATGTATGTGATGACAGCGTTCAGTCCCCAGAATCCACATCAGTTAGAGGAGAAAACTGACTCCATAAAGTTGTCCTCTGACTTCCATACATATACCAGAGGGCAGAAGACCATGCAAGAGTGATAGCTTAAAAAAATACATTTGTGGGAATCACTGTGCTTTCTGAAGAATTTCTACTTCATACAGCCATTGACTTTTCTTTTTGTTTTTTGTTTTTTTTTTTTTGGCAAATGTATAATTAGGAATTATGCTGGTTTAGTAAGTGGTGGTTTGCAGGTTCTCTTCTAATAACCATGACTTTACTAGCACAGAGTAGTTAGCTAAGTTTCTAGTACCAGGCATCGTTTACCTCTTGTTGAGTGGATCCAATTAGAGTTGATGGTTACTGCTAAGATATGCACGACACTGCTGCCCCCTTACTGTTATTGTGTCCTTCTTGTCATTGTTGTGGCTCTTAGGCTTCTGGGTTGGATAGGAATGTGGGTTGCCTACTTCCTGTGGAAACTTGCATGGCTCCCTCCTTCTGGTAGCATAAAAGCTAGTTTCCAGGGAGGAGGCTTGAAGGTCACTTCCAGCTCAGGAGCCTCTAGGCCTGGTGTGCATGGTGTCCAATCAATGGTTGAACACGTTCAACAACTGCTCTGAAGTGCATAGTGCTTTCAGCAATAGAGACTTACAGTCTATCTCTAGGGGACAACCTAAAAACCATTTCTATATCTAAAAATCAAAATTGCCTGCCATAATACAAGCCCCTTTGTGTTATGTGTCCCTCATCTGTGCAGAGGAAGAGTTTACGCACCTGTGAGAGCCATGGAGAGATTTCTTCCTGTGGCTTCAGTCAGGAAGCCACATGGACATGAGACATGACCCATCATCATGCAGCAGAGGCTGGCCTGGACCTGCAGTTGAGGGTGACTTTGAACTTGAGCTTTTTGCCTGCTGGGCTTATGGTGGGCTCAACCACCCTGAGCCCAATGGCAACAGTAAACCAGCTTTAAAAAAAAGTAAAAAATAAAGCAACACAACAACAGCAACACTCATTCAAGCTCTAAAAGAATGTTCACTATGTTGAAGCATAACTGTTTTACAAAATGAATCAAATCATACGGTTCAAAGAAATGCTGACCTGATGTGTCATTTTAAAGAAACTTAACCAAAGGAATATCATAAAAATACTAACTGCCAACTTCATTCTAACTAGTAGTTTTGTAGGGTACACATGAATTTTTATTCTAATTCTAAAAATATGAAGAAAACAGAATCAAAACTTGGTTCTCTTTAAATCTTTTATTTCTTTTTCACTAGACCAAGCTAGCTCCTCATGCCTAAAACATGAAAAATTTGAACATTTTCAAAGAAAGATGACTTAAAAGTTTCTTGCTAATCTTTATTCATGAAAATAAGCAACTCAGCCATTAGCAGTATATACATTCTCTATGGTGGTATACAGTCATTTACATTAAGACTTTGGCATTTAAAACAGTTTTTGATTGCTAACTAAGGTAAAGTTTCATCTTAAGCTTTACATAAACCTTAATACTCTGGAGTTGCTGCATGGATCTGGAGGTGAGAAGCAGACTTATCACAATAGCCTTTCAAAGCTTTTTGAGGCTCGGGTTGAACACAGCTGCATGACTTAATGTTACAAGCAAACCACGAATCGTTAACTGGAATAGCTGGTAGGAGCAGTTTTTAATGGAGACTGAAAAAATTGAGAGAGAAAGAGGTTGTACCTACTCCTTAAGAAATAATATTAATAGTTTGAATCTTTTACAAAATCTTACTAGAAAAGGAGATAACAACATTTGACAGAGATGAAAGCAGTTCTCGTTAAGATCTGGCCATTAGCCAAAGACCAGCGTACTTTCTAGCTACAGAAGCAGATCTTCAGAGTATGTGCAGTAAGGACAAGTCAGCCAACTGTACCACAGCCCTAACCCACTTGTGTTTATTATGTTGGTGAAGTTGAAGTGATTCATGTATTCATGACACCTCCACTACGAATGCCTCCTAAATCCTAACCTTAAAATACTTTGACTACATCAGTGAATTCTTAGTTTGTAATTCCTACCCATCTACTTATAGTCATCATGTATATGCATCTACAACAACATTGTAAATTGTTTTTAAAAGATGGTTGCCCTTTACTTGAAGTTGAATCCCTGTTATCAGTAATACTCAGACAAACTTCTTTCAAAAAGTAAAATCTAAGGCATAAATTAGCATTTCTTTTATCTATGAATAAAATGTACTCATAGGCTAATGCCACTGTGAACATAAAAGGTTTTACATATACACATTTTTCCCTCAAAAACCTGTTTTAAAAACTGATTAATTCACCATTGGGAAAATGCCAAAATGCTACATTTTGTTGTTACACAAACTTTAGAAGTTCAGAGTTAAAAAACTAAGACAAACCTTAGTTTATACAGCTGAGGGTTATACAAAGCAGGTAGAAAATCTTTTTCATTAGAACACAGTAACAAAGAATGTTACAGCCCCCAGAAAGCAGAAGAAAAACCCTCAATCATGCTGTGTGTTTGTACATGTATGAGGTATACACACATCTACCATATATATGTGAATGCGTGTGTGTGGTGCATGTGTTCAGCAACTTTTTTTAGCCTAATCCTTCCCAACCTTTGCTGCTCTATCTAAAACATTATCTATTAAAGTAAGATCAACAATGTATGACCTGGCATTTGGTGAAGTGCAGTCTACCCTCCTGCTAATGAAGGTGCAGCAGGCGTGGCACACAGGCTACAGTGCTGGAGCAATGAAATCAGACAGAGCTCACCGTGGCTGGGGAAAATTCTTATTTTAAGAAAAACATGTCATTGAGTATGAAAATTATTTGTATGTCCTAAAGGTATACTAACAAAAACAGTAATGAAAAAGGCATGACAATGAAATATCACCCTTTGTTCCATAAAATAACAGCCTACAGGTTGACAGAAAAATATTCTAGTTTTGATCGTCAACTATATTGCACCTATGTGTCATGTGTCACTAGCAAATCCATCAGGATAAATAGGCCTTTAAATGTAAGACTGGTAAAAAGTGCTTCAAGGATTCAGCCAAACCAAGCCAAACCAAACCAAGCAAATCCACTGATATTTAAGGCAGTAGCTTTAACAAATGTGTGATTAGTTTCTTGTTTATTGGTTTCTCTAAAGCATTTCTTCCTTATTCTTTTAATACAATGACAGCACACATACTAATTGTATCATTTCAAACACTGCTCTAACATACTCTGAGGTCTGCTTCTTGGCTCTTCTCGATGGGAATATTGCTCACTGATCTAACAGATATTTGTTTTTGTTTATTATGCAAATGATCGGGATACAAACTAGTCATAAGACAGTAGGCTGTTAAAGCCACCTTTTCCTCAGAATCCTTGAGTATTTTACCTGATTGCATAAACACACAAAGCAGAAGCTTCTAGAAGCTCCTAGAGTGAACCCTGTTATTTATGCAGTGTGAAATGAAAATCTTACAGAGAAGCACCTCTGGTGATTCAAGAATTGCACCAGTGCAAGCTGCTCACCCTCCTCATCAAATTGCAGTCAGCTTGTTCATGAAAACAAATTTCAAGATTTTCATCATAAGAAGTGTAATGATCACACAATCAAATGATGACTCACGTTACAGACATTCTAAAGCAACAGAAGTCTGAGGTGCTTACGTTCATGCTTACAATAACTGAAAACAACAGAGTAAAAACAGAGTGGGTGTCTTGGTTCAACATGGATTATCAGCACTGCTGTTTTGTCAGCATCACAAGTGAATTTCTATAGAGAAAATATTCATGTATAACACCTTTCTCTATTAAATACACATATAGCTCCTACATGCCACCTTATGAAACACTGATTTTACATGAAAGTGTGTTTTGGTAACAATTTTGCACTGACCAACAATAAATTGTACTCACTGTTGTATAAATTGTTGAAAAAAGTATTACAGATGTTTACAAAGAGTTACAGTAATACATAAAAATACATTGTTAAAATAGGATGAACAATGTATACCATAATAAAAGGTATTACAACCAAGCAGTACGAACGTTGGGTTTCGGTCTTAGCAAAAAGCCACTGGATGTGTCCAACACTGATCGTTCAGTCTTACAACTGAGACCACTGGTCGCACTGGATGTCCTGGAAGCTCCTCCTGAACATACACAAAATAAAACAATCTCAATGATCTGAACCACGTACACATGCCATCTTTTGAGAAACTTCCTGCCCTAATTTTAAGTCCAGACTGGTTTCCCTCTTCATTCCAGATGTGTCTACTACTCTAATGAAATTATTCTCAATAGAACTGTACTTTAGAACTCCCCATGGAGGGCTGGAGAGATGGCTCAGAGGTTAAGAGCACTGGCTGCTCATCCAGAGGTCCTGAGTTCATTTCCCAGCAACCACCTGTTGGCTCACAACCACCTGTAATGAGATCTGATACCCTCTTCTGGCCTGCAGGCATACATGCAGACAAAGCACTGATACCTAAAAAATATACAAATAATTTTTTTTTTAAAAAAGAACTCCCCATGGAACTTAAAAGCTACTAAAGTGACTTAAATGAAAACAAAACACTCTGCATAATCATTTACATGTTTACTTGACAGTTTTCTATGTTTAAGGGACAATACTAAATGTCAGTTACTAGAACAAGCCCACATCTTAAGTCACCATAATAATCCATGTTTTAAACTGAGTAAGTGAGATGACCAGTCAGTGACTCAATCACATAAGCACTGGGAAGTTTGAGCACTGGCAGGTCCAATTTTCGTTAGTAACAGGTTGTACATATTTAAGGAAAATAGTTTAGAATGTGTAATGATGCAATAGCATCAACATCTATAAAGGAAAGCGTCTGCCTTTCTATCTGTTGTAAACCCTGGCACTAAATTCCTACATCTCTAGGGTACACAGCTAAGTCTGTAACTGATCACATCTCAAACTAAAAAGAATTACATCTGCAGTTTGTTAATTTTGTTTTAGTTACCTAGTGAGGAAAAAAAAGACACATGTAAAGGGCTACAAGGTATTAGCAATTGTCTATAACTGGCTAGAGAGAATGATTCAGCCACATTCAAGTAGCCTGTCCATTTATTCTTTAAAAACACATACTGAATTAAAAGTCTCTCTTCTAGTGTCTGAGGAAACACTTATTTTCACTCATTTTATCTTTTGGTTTTCTCTTTATGCTACCATTACATTCTGTATAGGAAGCCTGAAGTTAAGTGAAATATAAAAACATTCCAGTGAAAAAATAAAATGCATTCCAAAGTTAACATTTTAAATCTCTACCAGAAGAACATAAATTACACTGATAAAAACACAAATAGAAAATAGCTTTTTATATTCTTACTCAGTGGGCCGTAATGGCCAAGAGTAGATCTCACTCGTCTAATGGATGGTGAAGGGTTGAGATAACCCATATTTCGATGATAGTCCATTAGCTGTTCGGAGCGTTTCATGCCAACTGTTGGCTTCACAGCTTCAAGCCGTTTCAATAAAGCCTTCATAAAAATATAAAAATTAATACTACATAAATACCATTAATTTCTACAAAGTCAGATTTTTTTCCCCCTCCGAGACAGGGTTTCTCTGTGGCTTTAGAGGCTGTCCTGGAACTAGCTCTTGTAGACCAGGCTGGTCTTGAACTCACAGAGATCCGCCTGCCTCTGCCTCCTGAGTGCTGGGATTAAAGGCATGTGCCCTACTTTAGTCAGATATTCTGTAACTTGAAATTCACCAGGAAAAACAGTATTAAGTCACTCCACACATGCCAGAAATTTTCTTACGGAGGTTGAAAAATGTACAACCACCCTAAATATTTGTCCATATACCCACAGATAAATGTAATCTCCCCTCATCAAGGAAACTTCTGTTTGTAACAGAAAAGACATTACATAAAACCACAACCAATCAAAATGCAGAGTTGTGGAGCCCTAATGGATACCTCTACAAAACAAAGCTCAGGGAACATTGCCGAAGACAGATTGTAAGATCAGGGAGTTTGCCGTGATACTGTGTGCTCTCCCAGCAATGCCAAGCTATACACACACAGTCTCACTAACAAGCTGAAGAAGAACAACAAGAAATATACCAAAGTGGACAGGGAAAAGCTCTTGGGGCCTCACCCTTCCACAAAAACTTGAGGCAACTAAGGAATCCTGAGAGTGGGAGAAATGGCCTTCAGGGAAGAGCACACCAACTGGTTATCTAATACCAAATGGTTAGCCGGAGAACATACATATCAGCAACATATGAGACTGAGTAGGTTGTATTTAGAAATACATATCTATGTACAGATATATGTAACAGTAACGGAACAAGAGGCCATTAATTTGAAAGAGAGTCAGGAGGGTCCACTCTCTTTATATGGATGGGTTTGAAGGGTGAAAGGGCAAAACGCTGTGATTATAATCTCTCCTGTTAATCTCAGATACTATCCAGAAGTAGCTCGCATACACCCATGCCAGCTATGCCAGCTTAGACTGCCGCCATGCCTCCCTCACACAGAACACTAAGGAAAGGCTGCGTGAACACTCATCTCAAGCCCCACTCTCTTCGTTTCACCCTCCCAATTGTTTCCTGTACTTTTCCTTTACATACTTAAGACTGGGTAAAGTCTACTATGGAAAAGAAGTGTTTCAGAAATTAGAAAGGCAGCTACTAAGGAACACAAAGCCTTTCAGAGGACATACTCATCAACAGGCAAAGCAGCATGGTTGCCAATAAGAAGGCATTCTCTTCAATATCACTGAGTCAATTGTAAATATTCCTAATTTTATTTTTTTAAAAACTTTATTTTATATGAATACGTGTGTGCCTGGAGTGTATGTGAATGCCATGTATTTACTGGTGGCTAAAGAGGCCAGAAGATGGTATCTGATCACCTGGCATTGAAGTTATACACAGTTGTGAGCCACCATATGGCTGCTGGGAAGGGAACCTGGGTCATCTGCAAGTGCAGGAAGTGCTCTGATTAAACCATCTCTCCAGCTCCAATCATTCTCTAACTCAAAATTCTCAAGTTTTTCCTTTTCAAAGGTCTTTGAGAAAGGAATATAGAGGAAGACCAAATGCTCTGAGAGGATTGATTCATGGTTCTGTTTTCTATTTTTAATAAATTTTTATTTAAATTAAAAACAACCTTATTTTACATACCGATCCTATTTCCCTCTCCCTCCCATCCTCCCATGCCCCCTACCAACTCCCCATCCTATTCCCCCATCCACTCTCCAGGAAGGGTGAGGCCTCCCACGAGGGATCATCAAAGTCTGTCACATCATTTGGGGCAGGACCTAGGCCCTGCCCCTTGTATCTAGGCTGAGAGAGTATCCCTCCTTAGGGAATGGGCTCCCAAAGCTCATTCGTGCACTAGGGATAAATACTGATCCACTGCCAGAGGCCCCATAGACTTCCCAGGCCCCCCAACTGACACCCGCGTTCAGGGGGCCTGGTTCGTCTTATGCTGGTCTCCCAGCTGTCAAATTGGGGTCATGAACTTCCACTTGCTCAGGTCAGATGTTTCTGTGCATTTCCCCAGCATGGTCTTGACCCATTTGCTCATCATTCCTCCCTCTCTATAATGGGATTCAAGGAGTTTGGCTCAGTGCTTGGCTGTGAATCTCTGTTTCTGCTTCCATCAGCTACTGGATTAAGGCTCATGTTTGTCTTTTTGTGACTGGGTTACCTCACTCAGGGTCATTTCTTCTAGTTCCATCCATTTGCCTGCGAATTTCAAGATTTCATTTTCTTTTTTTTCCTGAGTAGTACTGAGTAGTACTTCATTGTGTAAATGTACCACATTTTCTTTATCCATTCTTTGGTTGTGGGGCATCTAGGTTGCTCCCAGGTTCTGGCTATTACAAATAATGCTGCTATGAACATAGTTGAACAGATGTCCTTGTGGTTAAAATACACAACCTTTTCTGGTGCAAACTGAGTTTTTTGAAATAAGAGAGAAAAGATTCGATGCAACTTTCCAAAGCACATGGGACTTTAAAAAATGATAGTTATAACACTGTAACAACTGTAACAGTGACAAAAGACATAAGCAATAAGGTGTGAAAGGGTGGAGGAGGGGAAGTAGTGGGAGATAGTTACTGGGTACTAAAATAAACTTAAGTAGGAGGGCTAAGTTTTAGTGTTCTGTGTAACAGTAGGAGGACTATCATTTATAAAAGTTGAGTATTTTAAAAAGAACTGGAAGAGAGTTTGGAGGTCCAAAATACATTAAAGAGGTGAAGTCCTACTTATCCTAATTTAATCATTATGTAGTCTATACATGCTGACATTACCTGCTAATATGAGACTGGGGGCTTACACTGTAGTGTAGGCATTGACTGTTTAGCCAGATTATTTGGTAGGCATGTAAGGGTCAGAATAAAAGTGAGATAACATATAGTACCCATAACAGTACTCATGCATTGCTTGAAATCCATTGCAGTAAGGATTTTGTTAGTATTAACATTGTTTTGTATAGTTCTCTAATTGTCTGACATACAAAACATCATCTTCAGACTAGGTTATGAATTATATGACAATCAGCAGTATTTTACATTTTCTACTGCTTTATAGAAAAATGAAAAACACTACTACTGTTTAATAAATCAAAATGATAGGAATGGTTCTTTAAATTCCAAATTATGGTTTACAAAACCATAGAATGAATGACCATTCAGTTCAGACTCCAAGAAAGAATTTCAAAATAATTTCACCAAAACTTTTTTGCAGAAAGTTGTATTTTTAAAATCATGTCTATTTAAGGCAAAGAATGCTACTTTATACACATTATAAAACTAACACAGTTTTTCTAGTCAACACATTATCTCACAGCTACCATTTGTGTGTGTTGTGTGAAAATTATAGTCTACTCCTGTCTACCAGGTTTCAGGTATGCAAAAAGTCTAGAGACCTAATGTACAGTAGTGATGACAGGTGGTACTTCTGCTTTATGACTGTCTATATATTTCCTTTATACACTTTCCAGGAAGTATTCTTGGAAAAAATTAACCCTGCGTGTCTTTTGATACAAACAATGAATGAATGTTAACAAGTCTTGCAGATGTAGTGGAGACTAATTTATTGTTTTGAAAATGGTGAAGCAGCCATTAAAGGCATACACGTTTAATTTCAGCATTCGGGAGGCAGAGGCATGTGGATCTCTGTTGAGTTCGAGGCCAGCCTGATCTACAGAGCAAGTTCCAGGACAGACTCCAAAGCTACAGAGAACCACCCCACCCCCACCTCTCCCACCCCCGCCAAAACAAAACAAAAAAAAGAAAAAGAAAGAAAAATAAAAGCGATGAAGCAAAGACTCTGAAAGGTTATTAAAAAGTAACAAGCGTCCAAAGCCAAGGAAAAGAGATAAGGCCTCTCACATTTTCCCCAGCTGGAGTCATATGAGTTATAGTCAGCTTTCTGTCTGCCACAGAAGGATAAGCACAGGAATAGGAAAATAACAGTAAGTGAATTATAAGCTATGTCAAGATTTTAGTATAAGTTTATGATCAACCAGCAGATTCATAGGGAGGGGTAGAAAGAGAATAGAGAATATGCATAAAAATATTCACTGAATATTTTTAAAGATCTGAAACTTCTAAATTTATGACACATTACTGTAGCTTAAAAATAATATATTCATAGCGGAACTCAGAAATAGAAAGTAGAAAAAAAAGTATGTCTACTTTTTTATGTACTTATCTGTACTTCTCTAGATAAAACTCTTACACACACACACACACCCTTAAAAAAGCAAAATGAAAAAAAAAGAATAAATTAATTCACTTAAATTGTAGACTATTCATGACCATCTGGGGGAACCTTCATTTCATCCCAAACACTGTTTCAAGTGTCCCCCTGCCTTTTTTACCTGAAGGAAAATAACACAACCTGACACATAATTAGAAAAATGAAATAATTTCACTAGACATTAATGCTAAACAATATGTAAGTACCCTTACTGAACTAACTCTTCTGCTAATACTATTTTTGCTTCTCTGAGGAAAAAAGAATACACATTATGTTCAAATGATAACCATCCATCCATCCACCCACCCATCCATCATTTAACAAGAACATTTCAAAATTCCTATCTTAGGAACTTGCCATTGTTTTGGGAATAATAGTCTTGACGGAACCGAGTCAATATGAAGCAAGCACACCCTGCTGAACAAAACTGCATTTTATTATTCAAATGCATATTCTCTATTCTCTTTCTACCCCTCCCATATTCTCTTTCTACCCCTCCCCCTTTCCTTATTGTTGCTAGGGACTGAACAAGCATCAACACTTCAGTACGTTCTATACTTTCTTGATATTTATCTGGATACAATATTTAGTAAGAGGATGCTAGTGCCCATTGAAACAGATAGTAAGGACCTTGAAATTTATTAGGGTATATTAACAATTTGCTTTTAATCTAGGACTCCACCTTCTCTGTACACCTCTGCACAGTACCTTCTGGTCTTGATTAGAGACCGCTTCAGCTTCTGAAGTGTCAACAAGTTATAATAAATATTGGAACATAAATGTTTTAATAATCATGCCTATTAACCACCAGATTTTTCTCTGGTATCAGTGACAGGACAAATAAGGAGACAAAAGTAATATTTATAAATCAGTAGACCTTGTTTGTGAATATAGTGGCCAAAGAAATAACTATTGATGCATGAGGGGGGTGTGTGTGTACGTGTGTGTACTTACATTACAGCCAGCCAGCAAACAGATTAAAATGTATATTAGCTCATATTCAAGAAAAATTAAAGCCAATATGGCTCTATTACATAAGAGTTTGGAAACAGGTGAGATGGCACTTGCCACAAAGCCTGATGACCTGAGTTGGATCCTAGCAACCTACATGGAAGAAGGAAAAAAAGACTCAATTTATCCTCTTCCCTCACTTGTGTGTGTGTGTAAACAGAAAAATAACTAAGGGTTTGGTTATAAAATAAATGTTAAAAACAAATAACAGAAGCAACCGGTTAGGAAACATGAAAACTATATACAATAGCACAAAAATGTAAGTCTGGAGAAAAGTGCAAATTTTTACTATTGTGGGTTACAAGAAGGCTCCTTAAAGGGAAAGGCTGCATTTTGACAGCAAGGTACTATTTTGGGAGTACTGAACTGGGGACAGAGCTCAGTCCGGAATAATGAACTTCCTAGCTCTACAAAGGGTTAGCTCAATCCTCAGTACTACAAAGCAAAAATTAGTCAATATAAAACATTCTCTTTAAAATGTATATCAAGGACAATGCAACATACACAAACTATTTTAAAAAAATGTTTCATTATTAGGACTAAATACAAAAGAAGTATAAAAAAGTTATGAGAAGGTATGAAATTAGTTTTAAGAATGAAGAGTTCAACCAGGAAGATTCATTTTCTTCACTGTAACATAAAAATTATTATGTTTTCCTGTTTAACTTGAAGTTCCTTGTTTTCACTCTGTATCAACTAGTCTTCCATTTCAGAGCAGCACTGTTCAAAGCTATTAGCCAGATGTGCTATATATTCTTGAGTGTAGCTAATCCTGAGATGTGTGTGCTTTATGTATAAAACACAGAAGTTTCACACTCATCAAAGAGAAAAGTAAGAATGTCTCATCATGACGGGTAGTTGTGGCACATGCCTTTAGTCCCAGCACTCTGGAGGCAGAGGCAGGCAGATCTCTGTGAATTTGAGACCAGCATGGTCTACAAGAGCTAGTTCCAGGACAGCCTCCAAAGCCACAGAGAAACCCTGCCTCGAAAAACCAAAACCAACCAACCAACCAAACAAAAAAAGAATGCCTCATCAATGATGCTGATTACATGCTGAATGGCAGTATTCTGTGGGCTGGGGCTGTAGCTGCCACAGCTCAGTGGCAGCATTTGCAAGCCCTGGATTTGACCTCCAGAACCAATGAATGAGCAAACAAATAAAACAACATCATATAGTCAGTTAAAACGTTATTTATGGGCATTGGTGGCGCATGCCTTTAATTCCAGCACTCAGGAGGCAGAGGCAGGTGGATCTCTTTGAGAGAAACAGGATAGGCTCCAAAGCTACACAGAGAAACCCTGTCTCGAAAAACCAAAAAAAAAAAAAAAATTATTTAAAAGAATTCACAACTGTGCTGATGTGTAGTAAGTTATTATCGACAAGAAAAATATTTGTTTACATATGTAAATTACAATGTATATGGAGCAAATAAGGATAAACTATTGGCATTTCCCATTGCTGTTGAAGTTTCATTCCCAAAAGAATAATGAAAGCTGTGAATAGAAGCTGCTGACAGTCTTCATCTATGCATATTCATATGAATATGATGCATATTCAGACAGTATGAATTGTGCTGTTATAACTGCAAGTCCAGGATCTTTAAAAAGCCAAACACAGCAGAAGCACACACCTATACTGATTGCCTGTACTGGGAAGGAGGCTGCCAGGTGATGGAGAGTTTAAGGCCAGCTTGGGTTATACAGTGAGACCCTATCTCAAAATCAACACAAAACAAGAAACTAAACACAGAATTACTAGCACATGACCCAGCAATTCTATAAACACTTAAAAGAAATGAGAGCAAAGACTTGAATAGACAGTGTTCGCTATAGGATTACCCACAACAGTCAAGATAGAAACTAGAGTATCCATCAGCAAATGGAATAATCAGGACGTTATACATTTACAATGGAGTATTATTCAGTTTTAAAAGCTGCTCTTGCAGAGGACCTGGGTTTGATCCCCAGCGCCCTCACACCACCTCACAATCATCTGTAATTTTTTAAAACTTTTTTGATACATGCTACAATATGGATAAACTTTGAAAACACATTAAGTGAAATAAGCTAACTACAAAAAGAGAAATATTGCTCAATTCATAAAGGTTCAAGGCCTAGAGGGAAATGGGAATAGAGAAATGTTATAGTACAAACAAGATAGTAAAATTCAGTGAACTGTACCCTTAAAGTAGATATGGTATACAAACTATACTTAAATTGAAGCTGCTTTTATAAAATAACCCAAGATAGACAACCTAAATCTGAATCTAGTGTCTGCTATCTGCTGTTTGACCTGAAGCAGTTCCCTGTGCCCTACTCAGTATCTCATTTTCTCTCATGCCATACCATCCTCATACAATAGAGGATAAGATGACCTAACGTTTGCAAAAGCATTTATTTGTCAATTAAAACAGGCTTCAGAGATAAATAGACACATGAAAACAAAGTAAACACTAATGTTTATGACATTAGTAACTCCACATTTCACAAAATATGAATCAAATACTGTTTACATGATGTACAGAAAGCTACTGTGCGCCATCACACACAAAACTCATCTCAATGACTTTATTGTACCTACCTTTTGCTATGTGTGGCATAACTCTCTTCCAGTGTTTAAGTCTATCTTAGGGATGGTGATGGTAATAAACACATAGAATCTGTTACCAGTTCAGGTTCATATAGGTTTAAATAGAAGCACACTGGTGCTGAAGCATGAGGGTCAATTCTGGAACTGCCTTATAACAGCTTTTACATTCATTTTAGTTTGAACTTATAAACTTACAGAGATCTAATTTTAGTTTATAATTTCTATTTATTTAAGAGACTACCTAGGGTTAAGGTTTTGGCTCAGTTATTTCCTTTGGGTAATTATTTAATCCTGTTAGGTTTTAGTTTATTCATGTTTACAATAGTTTTAAAAAAATGCCTACCTCAAAGATTTATCAAGATTCAATAAGCTAATATGTAGAGGATATTTAGACCAAGTCCTAGTGGTTCAGTAAGTTCAATATATAGCAATTACTATGAGCTGAATTTAGTGAAGAAAATTATATGCTATAATAGTTAAAATTTTCAAGTCTTATGTATGCATGTTCTTTATTCTTTATTTATATATATATAAAAGAATATTTATATATTCTTTAAAATATCAAAGTAACTATATAATTCAAAACTATGAATGCTGCACTCATTTCAAGCTGAGTATCAAATTTGTTTCCTTTTTGCTTTTAAAAATAAATCATATAGAATTTCCAGGATATTATGGGGTAAAGCAGATTTAGGTAGTGGCTGGGTACATCACAGAAGAATATGTGCATCTGGGTACCAATTCCTGAAACTATGCAGTGATTTAACTAATCTTATCAGGAAAGGTTTTTTGAGACAGGGTGTCTTTGTGTAGCTCTGGTTGTCCTGGAACTCACTCTGTAGATCCGGCTGTATTCAAGCTCACAGAAATGTGCCTGCCTCTGCCTCCCGCAATATTTTCTTTTAATGACCGCTTAATATACACTCTGCTAGCTACAAAACAGACATGGTTTATTTCTAGACTCATAAATCACCATAGTTTATGCCACATGTTATCTATACCTGCCTTTATGTAACTAAATTTGAAAAGTTGGCTATACTTGGATTTTCTGTAAGTTGTACTTACAAGTCAGTACAAATACAATTTTTTAATGACTAAACGATGTGTTACTTACCAGATTTTCTCTTTCAATCCTTTGCTGTTCCCTCTGTCTGTTGAGAGCACTATGATATAACTTAGGGGGATGGCCAAGTGATCTTCCAGGAATTGTACTTTTGCTTCCTGGTTTTTCAGCCTGTCTTGACAGTTCTTTCAAAAGCCTCTGATTTTCCCGATCAATCTGTCTCACCTCTTCTTTTGTGAAAGAGTAGTTTTTCCTAGGCATTATTGAAGGCTGATCAAAGTGATGTTTTTGTGGTCCCTTTTTATCTAATTGCAGAAAAGCTACAGAAGTAAACAAAAAAATGAAAGTAGCTAAACAAAATAGCTATGATGGCACATACTTTAATTCTTAAAAATATAAACTAAATTAATAGAAAATATGAAATGAGCTAATGACTTATTTGTATAAGAAAAAAACTGGATGCAGCTAAGAGTTTTTATGTTCCCTGGACCGTTTGGGCATAAAAGCTCATGCAGATGGGGATTTATACCAGAATAATTAATGTATGAATTTGATACTAGTTCTTAGACAGCCAATTCACAAAAACTATTCTTGCTTTGTCTGTTTTGTTTTCCTACAGCACCGTTAATAGCTAGGGACTATAGGAACCTCTGGGTTGAGTGTACTGATACAATACTTTAGGTACACTTTTTTGTTAAGGGGAGGGCATAATTCACCAGTAACAGCAGATGTTCCTGACAATGACTGAGGGAAGCATTGGCAAGAATAAATTCAGACCAGTCTAGAATTAACAACTTAATCTGAAAGCCATTGGCTTAATATTGTGAAAGTACTTCTGCTGTAAATGACAAACATTCTATTTTTTATTAAACATAAGCCAAAATGAATACATTATATAAAAGACATTCCCTAGCCAAGAAAAAATTGCACACTATGATTACCAAATGATTTTTGTTGGGGTGGTGGTGGGAATTGAAACCAGGGTCTTGTCCATTATACGTGAGTACGGTATTACTAAGCTATGTCCTCTGCCTGAAAAGAATTTTAACAACATGCTTAAAAATTATTACAAAAATTTTCAGTAAGCATGACTATTACTATCCACTTGTGAAAAGTTTCTGAAACCACCGAGCTTGGTGAATGTTTCTACTTCAGCATATTCTAAGGTAGTAATATATTTTATCAGGTTAACAAATGGAGTTTTGTTTTGTTTTTATGATACTGTACTATTCTATGTGTGAATGATCCCTATTTGTCAGGGTGCATGCCAGTGTGTGTATGGAGGCAGGAGACAACCTGTGGACTTGGCTCTCTCCTTCCACCTTTATGCACACTCCAGGGACTGAACTCAGGGTTTCAGCCTTGTGCAGCAAGTGCCCAACAATGACTACTTGTCATCTCCACAGCCCTTAAAACAATATTTTTTTAAAGTAATGTTTGTTGCTTCTTGACTACACACTATTCCTTTTTACATGTCTAGACTAGCATCTTCTTCCATTATACACAGTGCTGTAAAGGAAGAGGTACTTTTAACACCCATTTTACAATGAGTTTAATCCAAGCACTTGGGCAAGTGACAAAAGCAGTAATTTTACTTCTTAATTTATCCAAAGACTATAAAGACTACTGAAGATTATAGGAACAAACAAACAAAACAGATAAACAGTAGCTTCCTCAAGAAAACTCAAGGAATTACTGGTTGATAATTAGTTAACATGGTAGTTGAAAACCACACCAAGTAATTGACAAAACTTGAATGAGTACGTTTTGAAAGATTCACATACACTATAAATATTAAATAAATTTAGCTATGTATGAAATTAAGCTACATTTCCTAATGACACTTTTTTAAAAGTAGAAAATGCAACAGTAAAAAAAAAAAGTTTAGCTCATTAAACAATCAAACAACAGCCTCTGAAGGGCAGTATCTAAGCTTTCCTTCACTGAAAACAGCAAAACAAAACAGAATATTTATTTACTGATAGCAGGTATTACGATGACATTTTTTCAAAGCCTTTTTTTGCAGGATGGGCTTGGGTACTAGCTATGAAGGCTTACAACTATCTGTATCCAGTTCCAGGGGATCCAACACCCTCTTCTGGCCTCCTCTGAGACTGGCATGCACACATTTTACACACACACACACACAAACACACAAACACACACACACACACACACACACACACACACACACACACACACACACACACACACACACACACACACCACACACACGTATATATAAAATGAATCTAAAACACAAAAGGCTGTTGAAGTCTGAGAGGAAGAATTAGCCAATTGCTTATAGCAGCACTGTTACAGGGATAAGGGAAAAGGCAAAAATTCCTACTGGTAGATTTGGGGTAACATATTCAAGCAGGACACTGAAAATACAAAAGCTTACATTATCCATAGTAAGATAGAGAAATATGACCTCAAACAAGGAATTGATCAGTCTTCAAAGAAAATATAGGGGAAATGTAAGAGCCAGGATTCACAGGGTTCAGAATAAAACAATTACTCCTCCCTTATCTTCCCCAACAGAAGAGGTTCAAGTATCCAAGAGCTTACTCACTGCACCACTCCTGAGGAATCTTGCCTGTACCTGGACTGTTGGAAAAGGGGGATGCATTTTGTATACAGCAGAAACAAATAGTAGTGAAGAGATTTTAAAGCTATTTCTATAAATTAATCGACATTTATCCCATTAAGAGGTAGAGTCTAGGTTGATGATACACGTCAGAAGGTAAGAGTACTTGCCTAGCATGCCTGAAACCCTGGGTTTCATGGTTAGCACCACATACCACTTGGCATGATAGTGTATGCTCATAATCCTAGTACTCAGGAGGCAGAGGCAAGAAGACAGTCAAGGCCATCCTCAGTTACAGCCTGGGTTACATGAGACTCTGTCTTAAGAAACAAAACCAAAAAAGGCAGGATCTATGCCCCACCATTTTAAATTTGGGAAGTGTATAACCATTTCCACCAACACAAGAAGTAGTGGTGTATGCCTGTAATCCCAGAGACTGGGCAGCAGAGACAGGAGGATCACCACAAGTTCAAAGCTAGCCTGGATCTATATAGCAAGTTTTAGGTCAGTTAAGTGTCATATTGAGTCCATATCTAAAAGAAACCAAACAAGCACAAAAAGATGCTTTGTGACTCTAGAAGCAAGTTGCAAATGGTTGAGATTGCTGTATTATTTTCTGAAACACTCTGATTGGAACCCTGACTACCATGCAAGAAGTCCTGTTACCCTGAAACCACCACCCTTGAAGAAGCTAGGCCTTTGTGAGGAGACGAAGCTGCAGAGAGACTGAGTGGGCTCTCTGGTTGGCAGTCCCAACCTTCTGTTTGGTCCAAGTCCCAGTACCTGACATGTGGGTAAACAAGCACTCAGGCAATTCTGGCCCAAGGCACCGGCTCACTCCTACTTTTGAGTCTCTCTAGTCTACAAGTGCTGGCGTAATTTGTCCTGTAGCAATACTTACTGCTTATTTTATCCGTTGTTTGTTTTTCTTCTTTCTTTTAAAAGAACAGATATATACTAGAGCCAGTACCTGTGAAATCAAGTGCAACACCATGTGCACAGTTAACCCTTAAAAACAACCTTTCTGGTTATTTGGTCTGATTTTTAATACTCCTTTGTAGCTTGATCTTTACCAATTTATTGTCCAGTTCTCTTTTGTTTTCATTATATAATTTTCTAAAAAATATATACATATATATCAGTATTATACCTTTCAGCATACTTGGCTTATATATTAACATAAAACATCCCTCTTTGTCCCCTTTAGCACTTTTTACAACTTGAAATCTATTTTTATACCAATAGAGTTAATACTTTTATTTCCTCTTTTTAAAGGAGACATATCTGACATTGTATCTTTTTCAAACTTCTTTTTTGTTCTTCCTAATACTATTAAATACCTTTTTGGTTGGATTTTGTTGATTTATCCTCTTCCAGTATAACTAACATTTAATGAGTACCTATAGCTAGCGTAACAAACTATCAAAAGAACTAGTGTTTTCCCTTTCTTACTGTAGCAAAATAGACAAAATCCTAAATTTACCATCCTATTTTTAGATGTAATGTTCAATGTTACTACAGTCCATTCTCCATAATGCTGTATGTTGGAAAACTAAAATTAAATCACAAAAAGGCCAACCAATCAAACAAAAAACCCTCACCAGTCTCTGGTCTTCTTTTCCCAGAGCCTGGAAATGACAATTCTGTCTCCATGACTTTGACTAGGCCCCTTACATAAATGGAAGCACACAAGAGTTATCTTGGTATGGATATGTATATGTTCATGTATCTGCAGAGGGAGGGGTGTGTGTGTGTGTGTGTGTGTGTGTGTGTGTGTGTGTGTGTGTGTGTGTGTGTGTAGGCTAAAGGTCAATCTGGGGTCTCATTTATTAGATGTCCTCACTGGTTTTTCGAGGCAGGATCTCTTGCTGAGACCTGGTGCTCATTGAGTTACACTAGGTTGGGTGGCCAATGAGCCCCAGGGAACCTTGTCTCTCTCCAGTGCTGACTATACCAGCACATAGCACCATGCCTGCCTTCCTAAATGGTTGGGAGAACTGGAACTCAGGCCCCTGCTCAGCAAGGGCTTTCCTAAGCTATCAGCCTCCAGTGTTTGTCTTTCCGAGGCTTATTTCACTTAGCATAATGTTCTCCAGCCTCATCCACAACGTAGCACAGACCAGATCATTCTTCCCTTTAAGACTGAGTAATACTCCTGATTTCACTTAACATGCCACGGTGTCTTCTAAAGTTACAGTCATTTACTTTTATCTTTTGGCCCCTCTTCCTTCAGCTTTATGAAGTACACCCCCCTCCTCATTTCTTTTCCTTTTTCTAAAGAGTAAGGTAAAAAATTATTTTCTCAAAATTTTTCTCCAAAATTCAACAACTACTACAATAATAAATTCTAGTTCCATTTTCCTAGTTCTTAAACTTTTTGGTTTTGGGTCCTAAAGCTTGAGGTATACAAATGTTTCCATGGGTTACATCTACCAATATTTAATATGTAAAAAGTCAATGGTACAAAAAAACTAAAGATATTTATCCTTCCTTGTCCGTAACAATAAATTATATGTCAACATAATATTTCTATTAAAAAACACAAAGTAGGGTCTATAAGATGGCACAAAGGGGAAAGGCCCTTGCTGCTGAGTCTGAAAAACTGAGTTTGATCTACAGGACCCACATAGTAGGAATAACTGACTCCCACAAATTTTTCTCCAACCTATGCACACACACACTGGCACATCTGTGCTCCTACACATACACATGCACATGAATAAATATATAAATAGAAGCGTGTGGGGTAGTTGATAGTTTAACAACTCTGTCCATTTTTAAATGTCTAGCTTAACAGAAGACAGGTGGTTTCTCATCGCTGCTTCTGCACTGTGTGCTGTCATTGTCATCTCGAAGATTCCACTGATTACATGTAGCAGAGTACGTATAAAGCAAGTCAAGGTTACTTGGGTGGATGGGGTGAGGGGTAGGTTGGGGGTGGTGGAGGAGGGATGGGGGTGAGGGAAGGGAGAGGGAGAAGGGACCTACATGTGAAACAAGCTTGTTCCCTAACTTGAATAAAAAAATAAATAAAAAAAAGCAAGTCAAGGTTACTTTTATTAGTTATATAATAGCTCTGTCCTCATAAATCTCTCTAAAATCATTAGCCTTGCTTTAAAAAAATTGATTTTCAGTACACATGACTGAAACACTATGTTGATATGGAACTACTATCCTTTGGCAAGTAGAAATGCAATCAGCACTGGGAAGGGTTAAAAGTTTAGCTGTCGGGGTTCTACTTTTACCATACCTGAACATGTATTTGAGTGAGATTCCAGGGTGATCTATATGCACTCTAATGTTTGAGGAACTGCAGTGAACAAACCTAATTGCCCAATTTGCACCTATCTCTACCTTCCTCCATAATAGATCGAAGGCCTTCCAGTTCCCATGCCTAACTCCAGCAGGAGTGTGATTGGCTTCAGGTATCTCTCCCCTGGTCAAGGACCTGTTCAGGAATGAAGACTGCAACTATGTCAATTTGCAGAAAGAGAATTAAGTGCACATTATCAGGAGATACTTCTTAAAAAGGTTCTTGTACTCCAAGAGCTAGAGTAAGTGTTTCTCTGGACATTGTCATGTCTGAAGGTGAATGGTGAAAACTAATGCAGATCTTTACTGGTAGCCCAAGAATAAAGACAGAATAGTGGTAAGCATTTTGAGTTTGAGAGGAATTGAGAACTAGTCTGAAATTTCTAGGCCTAATTGATCATCTTTGCAATTATCTGACAATTCAAATGATATTCAAAGTGTTTTATGGTATAATGGACTATATCTGGAAAGTTATTAAAATGTCAATCATCTCAAAGACATTGACCAGAAAAATCCATGCATACTTAAGCATATATTTTAGTTATTAATCTTCAGATTTAATACATGGAATTTCAAACATTACCTTTCAACAGATGATTAAGGTCCATGGTGTCATGTAAGACTTTTTGTTTGGCTCTATGGTCTAGATTTGCTTCTAACACTGAAGATTTTGGAGCCAAATTCTGCTCATGCTTTTCTTTCCGTTTGGCTGACTTCAGAGATCTTAAATCATTTTTTAAAGTTTCCACATCCTCACACACATCCCGGCTTACATTTTCTTGCCTTTTAACTTTCACTTTCTGATCATGTGATGGACTCAATTCAAATGACTGGACAGGGCTGATGTCTGGAGTTGACAAAGGCGTTACATCTGTTACAGTATCTTCTGATTCCTCATTACAGTTAGCAGTTTTTTGTTTAGCACTGGAAGGCTGTACACTTGCTGATTTCCTTCCTGATTTCCGTTTTTGTTTTGGTGATGAGAGGGCTACACCAGAAGTATGTTTCCTTGATGATGAGCGTGAATCAGATTTATGGGTATCAGACCCTATATCTGAGCATTCTGAACTTGATCTTGAAGATGAGGAAGACAAAGAAGAGGAGGAACTGACTTTGGAATACTTTTTATTTGTGTTTTTAGAGGGCTTAGCTGACTTGGCCCTCACCTGACTTTTTTTTCCATCGTCGCTGCTTTCCTCTCCATCTGTGTAGTAATCGTCCTCACCTTTTGCAATTTTAGGAATTCTATTTGGAACAGGCAGGTGTAATTTATGTCCTTTTGTAGCATCACACGATTTTTTTGATTTTGAAGATGTGGATGATAATGAGGAACTTCTTGTTTGTGTAGGATCATTTTCTACATGGTATTCCTTGGAGGAAACTTTTGCTTTTCTTTCATTTCCTTTCTGAGTAAGGCAATTTTCCTTTGTTTGTATTTCAGGTTTCAAGTTCACATTTTCTGTGTCATTATCTATTCTCTCTTTAAGGTCATCATTTTGTATTTCAAATTTTAAGTTTACATTTTTGGTGTCATTATCTATTCTTTCCTTAAGGTCATCATTTTGCTTGTCAAAAACTAAATTACTGTCACATTTCTTTGCATCTTCAAAATCACTGTCAAAGAAAGAATGGTCAACTTCACCTTCTGATATATCTCCAAATCGATCCATGATGTCAAAAGTATATCTGAAAAGGAGAAAAGTTCAACCATCAGACTGGTGTAATTTCTAAATGTGTTTTATTTCTATTTTCCCAAAATGTTAGTAGTACAAAAAGAGAACTATGGGTTGGGCAGTGGTGGTGCACGTCTTTAATCCCAGCACTTCGGAGGCACAGGCAGGCAGATCCCTATGAGTTCAAGGCCTTGTTTACACATCAAGTTCCAGGACAGCCAGGGCTGTCAGAGAAACCTTGTCTCACTGCCCCACACCCCCAAAGAGAGAAAAAGAGAACTATTAACAATAAGTTTGTGAAGTCATTATAGGGCTCTAGGAGTATCAAGCTATACTAACAGTCCCAGAGCCCACAGCAGTACCTTACCCCAAAGGAAATCCCCCTTCTGTACAGTACTATTGAGTTTAAATGAGTAAAAGACAGGCTTTTAGCCATTTGTTTTGTCACTATGACAAAACACCACAACAAAATAACTCAAGGAATGATTTATTTTAGATCATGATTTGATCCTCCATGCTAGCCAAGAAGCAAAGATACACGACAGACCCTTAATGACACTCCCAGTCAGTCATCTACTTACTCTCACTGGGCTCCATTCTTCAAATCCCACCACCAACCCAAATCCATCATTAGGTTAAAGCCCTACTGACTGAACTGTCCCTGGAAATCACAGATACATTCAGGTGAGCTTTGTTAATCTCTCTGCAGTATCTCTCAATGTGATCAATCACATCAAAAAACTAATCACAATTAATAATCATAGTTGATATTAAAACTTCATGGCATCGGCTAAGGCACTTCAAACACCAACAATTCTGGTGGTAGTAATGCAATATGAATCAGTGAGCTTCAGCACTTTACTGCTTGCTGATCATCCTATTCCGTTCTTCTACTGCACACACTGAAGACAAAGCACTCAGAGAACAGTGACTGCTATTAAATTCTCCCCCATCCTCTATCCTTGAGCAACAGGAACCCAAGACACATAAACAGCCTGTATGGGTAGCTTCCAAATAAATTTCTGAATATTTAGTAATTAACATTTAATCACAAGCCGTGACATAACACAGGAAATATTACTGCAGAGGAGTATACATGACTCCTCTTTAATGTAGTGACATTAAAGGGGGTCTGATATGAGACACTGCAGCTGGTAGCCATTTGTCTAAAATCAAAGAACAGCACTTCATTTAGACACATGAAATTCAACAGTAGAAGAAATGAATTAAACTTCTAGTTATTTATGGTATGGAGTAAGGCTGATGTTTTGTTACTTAAAAAATTTGACTTATAGGTTTATGCACTTAAACAATGATTTTAAAAGTACGCAAAATATCTTACTACCCCAACCCAATTAGAACTAAACTGAAAACATTACTATAAAGCTATAGCATTTAGAAAGTACTTCTTGTGTTATCATAGTGACCTAAAAGCAGTATCACATTACTGATAATCTTAATTCAGTCTTTAGTTTCGAATCTCATTCTCCTTTAAAAACTCCCCCTGCCCCCTCCCCCACCCGCAAAGAAAAAAAAAAAAAAAAAAAAAGGAAGGGGCTGGAGAGTCAGCTCAATGGATAAGAGCACTTATTGTTCTTTCAGAGGACCCAGATCCTCAGCACCCATATGATGGTTGTAATTCCAGACTCTAGGCATGCACATGATGCACAGACAGGCCTTCAGTGAGAAGCTGCAATGGCAGGCTCTCTCCTCTTGCATTCCATTGGGGGTAGAGCTTTTACGCCAGTGGGATGCTGCCACCTGCATTCATGATCCCCCCCCCTTAATCATCTCCAAAATGTCAAAATTTAAAAGGGCTGACACTGTACAAGTTCAAAAACAAAATACATGCATAAATGAAAAATTCAGCAGGAACTTGTAACAATAAATCTTTCCGCCAAGCGGCCTGAGCCCTGCTGCCACATGGGTGCTTTTCGCCAGCTGCCAGAGTTCTGCCTGCCATGTTAGGGCCCCAAGTAATACACAGAGATTTATATTAGTTTCAAATGCTGCTTGGCCAATCGACTAGGATTTCTTATATGCTTTTTTCTTGCTCTTCCTCCTGGTCTCTGCTCTGGAGTTGCCATGTGATCTGCTGGCAAGAGAGGGCGCCACTGGAAGGTGTCCTTGATAAGTCTTATAAAACATATAGATTTATGATAATTAAGACTGAGCTAGCATATAAGAAATCCTAGTCGATTGGCCAAGCCGCATTTGTACCTAATATACGTGCCCACGTGGCGGCAGGGCTCGGGTGGCTTTGGCAGAAAGATTTATCGTTACAGGAACTCTCAAGTCCACAATAATATTCAAAATGGAAAGCAGGCACACAAACGTTTCCATTATTGATAAGGAACCAACCAGGCAATCATGTATTTAAATTATAATTAACTTCAGCACAGTAAATTAGGCACTAGAAGATTATGTAATGTGTATCTACAGAAGCCAGGACACACTGAATACATTTTTATTTACCATTACATGGCACTACAGCCCAAGGAAAGACATGAAAACCAGTATAGAAATAATTTAAAGAGTAATAAAATTTCTATCATTAACTGTTCTAAGTATGTGTATTCACACATTTTATCACAAGAATAACTTTTTCTGTCTGCTTTGAAGTCTCTTATACATCAGAAATCAATTTTGTGTTTTGCTGTGTTGAAACAGTCTCACTATGTAGCCTTGGCTGGTCTGAACTTGCTATATAGACCAGGCTGACCTCAAACTCAGAGACTAGCCCACTTTGTCCTCAGGAAGCTGGGATTAAAGCCATGCACAACCACACTCAGCTAAACATAAATTTTAATTCATTTACTTATTTAAAATTTGCAGTGTTGAGGATTAAACTCCAGGTCTTGGACATGCTAGATAAGGTCTCTGCCACTGAGCTACACTTCCTGCCCTGAGACTTGTAAAATGTTGGCTGTACCCTGATTTTAAATGCTTAAGGGAATCTGATTGTTAAATCTGTAATTTTATAAGCAATGTTTGATTGTTTAGGATGACCTACTTTGGTAGATTTATAAGTGTAACTTGTTAGGTAATTGAAATACTTAACCATGAAATATAATTTAAATTATGATGATAATCAGGTTCACCAACATCACATATAATGACCAGGAAAATTTAGTATTTTATAATCTAAGTAAAGATTAATGAAAGTACAAATCAGTAAAAATTTAGGATATGCACATCATCGAGAAGTATACATTTTTATGGTATAAAATTTATACCTCTATTAAAATTCAAGATTTTAGTTTCAAGATATTAGCATAAAATGATGCCTTCTTTACAAATTAAAAATTCAAACTGTCAGAGGGGGACTAGGAGTATAATTTAGAGGTAGAGATATTGATCCCTAGCAAACAAAAGGTGGAATCCCCTCACATATCTAGAGTAGTTTTCAGCTATCACATTATCTGTATAGATATCAAAGTCTATTCTATTAAATAATTTATAAAACACGATTTTTAAAATATAAAAATAGGAACCCCTTATCAAAACAATTAACAGCAAATGTAGATTATATACTTTTTAAAGATGTTATCTTTTTTGAATATCTTATCAGGACTCTGTAACACTCATATCTTGTCCTCCTAAAAGAGGGTAGATTTTTTATAAGGGTAACTTTAACAAAGGAAGCATGGAATCTAGGGCAAAGGAATGGGCACTCCTCCATTCACAGATTTCAATTTATCAGTACAGAAATACCTATTGTTGCTTTAAACTAACTTTATGAATAGCAGTCTCTGCAGTAGAAGTCAGGTGAAGTCCTAGCAAGTATTTTAAATAAATTTCAATGACATGATATTTAAGTTCACAAATTAGAGATTTAATGTCTTCTTTACTACAAATATGATGTCTGAGCTGAAGTACAGAGCTGTCTACTAGAATCTTTGTATCAGGAATAGGGACATCAGCACTAGTGATACGAACAGCAGAACATTTAGAATAAGGATGTATGCATGCGTGCGTGGGTGTGTGAGTGCAGGTACCTGTGGAATCCTGGAGAGTGTATCAGGTTCCCTGGAGCTAGAGTTATAGGTTGCTATGAGAGGAACCACAGTGGGTACTGGGAACCCAAGGTAGGGCTTCTGCAAGAGCAGTTCTGGCTGTTAACTACTGAGCCATCTCTCCAACACCTAAAATGTTTTTAAAAAGACATTTGACATTTGTTTTGAGAGACATAAGAGCCATAAACTCTGAATCACAATTTCATTTGTGGACATTTATAAAGATAAAAACATGAATGGCCGAGAGGTGGTGGTGCACGCCTTTAGTCCCAGCACTTGGGAGGCAGAGGCAGGTGGATCTCTGTGAGTTCAAGACCAGCCTGGTCTACAAGAACTAGATCCAGGACAGCCTCCAAAGCCACAGAGAAATGCTGTCTTGAAACCCTCCCTCCCCCCAAAAAGATAAAAACGTGAAAGTAGAAATGGGAGTAAGCACAGACTTAAATTGTAATATTTAGGTCACAGGCCAGCAGACTCCTATCAGGACCAACTCTGGATTGTTATGTTTATGCAGACAGTTTTACTGCAACACTGCTCTATATTCATGGGTTTATGAATTCAGGTGGCTTTCACATTACAGCTGTGAGAATCAACAGACTCCACACAAGTTTCAAAATAGTTATGTAACTTACTTGCTAAGTTTACAGAACTGTCACAGTTAATATATAAATAAAAAGTTGAGAGGAGACAAATTAAAAGTTGACTTGCTAGAAGATTCCACTGAATCTTTTTTTTTTTTTTTTTTTTTTTTTTTTCCCCAAAAAGGGGTTTTTTTTTTTAACAGCCCTGGCTGTCCTGGAACTCACTCTGTAGACCAGGCTGGCCTTGAATTCAGAGATCCGCCTGCTTCTGCTTCTCGAGTGCTGGAGTTAAAGTTATTCGACACCACCTGGCTAGATTCCACTGATTTTTTTAATGTATTAAGTGGAAACACGATTAGTGTCTGACAAAGGATAAACTAAGTCAGGCACTAAGGACTCAAGCTTTGTTGTGCGATATTTGTTGTTGACAATCCAAGACTGCTAATAAATCAAGAGAGGGAGACTAGCTGACTGGAATTAGCCATAGGGAGAGCCAGATTGAGAGGTACAGGGAGAGATGAGGGGATTCCAGTTAACTTCTGCACAGCCTTGGGAATGGCTATCATCTGGTGGTCATTCTTGTGTTAACTGGGTAAACTAAGGCTGGCTTTCTAATAACCTTGGGCCTCTCCTTTTCAGTTTCATCATGCAATGGTGTGGTAGTTTCTGCTCTAAATTCCTCTGTGGGAACAGCACCAGAAGTTGTCCTTTAGCCCTCTACGCACATGCTGTCTTGTCTATTTAATTTCTAGGGTCTGATAGCAGAACCAGAAGATAATAGGTTTGTCTAACACTTTGCCAACAGTAGCCTCCTCACCAGGCTGGCTAGAGTTGGTGTGTGCTTACAATGCCAGCTACAAGTGAAGTGAATTAAGAGCATCACTTGAGCTCTGGCACTAGAGTCCAATCAATGGCCTCTGATTACTATTCTTACCAGACTGGCAGACTGGGAGATCATAATATCTTGTTCACCTTTACATCCCCAGTGTTAAAAAAAAAATCTACAAAAATTAGGTAAACATTTAAAGAATGTTTAACCCACAAAGGAGTCTGGAGACTTTAGAGTCAGCCTAGGTTCTTGCTCTTTGTTTCCTATGCAAACCGAATCAAACCATGTTTTCAGCTTACTTTACTTACTAATTTTCTTTTCTCCTCATGAGAGGTGGCCCACTTCCTAGTGTATATGAAATTTCCGAGGTGTTTACCCTGAGAATTTCTACCGGGAAGGAGTGGCTGCAAGCACCTAAGCAGGTGATTCAACTTAATTTCCAGGAAAACTTATCTGACAATCTCACCCATTAGCAGTTCTTTTGTTAAAATTTACATCAAAGTTGCTGCAATCCAACTTACACTGGGGAATAAGTAAGAAAAAATGGTTTTTATAGGTTAAGATTATCTTACAACACACCGGAAAAGGATAATATTCAGTGACAGTTCATCTGACCATAATGACCCTCTGGTGGGTCCAGAGAGGCTTCTGTCAAAGCTACCTGGAAGTTACTCGGGCACTGTTATTTAGTCCATGCAGAACTAGTAAGAGAAATAAAAAGTGCTTTCACAATACACCAGAAAGAATACATAAATAACCTGGAAATAATGTCATTTTGTACATTTGTCCTTATCTGTCGATATACGCAACAGTGCCCCAAATAGGGTATACAGAAATCTTGGCCCAAACCGTACACCTGTTTTTCAGGAACTTGAGGCTTCGTCCACGACCCTACTAGGTACCCTCTCCAGCCTCTGGGACGTATTAAGTCAAAAAGCCTGTGGGTTCGGGTTCAAGAACCCGGAGAAGATGGGCAGCAGTGGCCACATCAGAAGTGGGCTCGCATCTGGCCTCCTACGGGCTACCGTTTCAACGGGGGAGGGCTGGTGCCCCCGCCCACCGTTTTTGTAGCGGTTATCTCGTCGCCCGCGGGGCTGACGAGGCCGAGGTGGCGGCGTCGGGTGCTGAAGACAGCCTGCGACCTCCCGCGGAGGTTCCGTGATACCCACCCCGAGTGCTCGCCTCCTTCGGGATCCGAACCGAGGAAACGGACCCCGAACGCTGAGAAAGACCGTGGCCCGCCCGCTGCGGAGCGACCGGATGCGGAAGCCCGAGACACGCTCACCTGGGAATTGCGACCGCTACAGACTCTCGCGCCGCGACGGGCGTTCCGGTCCTCGCTTGCTCTGCGCACGCGTAGCCACGCCTCCGCCTTTCTCTGAGCGCGCGGCTGAGCGGGACGTGCGCATGCGTCAGCAGCGGCGAGAGGTTCCGGGAACTGAGTGAGCTGAAGGGGAAAGGCGGGGTGTTCGCGGAGCCCACTCTCTGCAGGAAAGGGTCTCGTTCGTGCTCCTGGCGCCGGTAGCTCTCGTAGACCTTGTCACAGACTTCAGGCCCGCGCAGCCAGAAACAGAGTTTCTCCGCGGGGCCTCGCGAGGACTGGGAGGCTTGTGGAAAGGAGTCCACCAAGGCCTCCCAGCTGCCCACCGCACCATCTGCTCGCATACCCACGACGAAGCGGAAGGTCTAGGCATCCGGGATGATTTCCTACAAAGAATCCCGGTAATCTTGTGCTTCTGTAACAAGACGACAACAGTAAAAATAGAAGCCCTGTTAACACAAACTAGTCGCAGTGGCGCATGTCTTTGATCTCAGGAACAGTGAGAGAGGGATCAAGGCCAGCCTAGCCTACCTAGTGACTTCCAGGCCATCCGGGGCTATATCGTGAGACCCCGTGTCAATAAAAATACGCAGTTCACGCAAAGTTAATATGTACCAGGGACAGGTAACCTGTGAAGGAAGGCCTTCCTACTGATGGAGGTGCACGTTAAGCAATCTAAAAATCTCTACAGACTATTGAGTGCCTTAATTTCTTATCGAATCCCTGAACACATCGTAGGGGCAGCGATGGCACCCCCATTCCCAATCTATCCTCTAATCACCGGAGTCCACAAACATGTTACTTTATGTGGCATGGGAAATTTAGCTGATGCAGTTAAATTTACATTATTCAGGAGCCCATTGTGTAATCACTAGGGTCCTCACACAAGGGAGAAGCAAACCTCCAAGTCAGTTAGTGGAGGAGCTGTGACACACAAGAGTTGAGTGATGTGGGGAAGAGTCACTGAGCCAAAGAATTGCATGCAGCCCCAAAAAACCAAAATGGGGGAAGAAATGGATTCTACCCTATAAAAACTCAAATCTGCCTTGAGTTGAGACTTATAACCTCCATAACCCTAATCCAAATCTGAGTTGTTTTCTACCTCTAACTTTCTGGTAGCATGTTACAGCTCTCAGCATTTATATTAGAAAACAAAGAGACTTAACCTTATAAGTTAGGACTGCCACTGCATTGTTTTGTCAGAGCTGACAAAAGACCTAACACAATAAGAAAGATGTGTTCAACTCACATTTTGAGAGGGCTCAGTCCTCCATGGCACTGTGGAGCAGTTTAGTAACTGTGAGGTCGGAGACCCTGTCCTACCGGAAGAGAGCAGAGCAAGGTATAACTCTAGAGACACCTCTAGGCCCCACCTCCTCTCTTTCACTGCCTGCTAATAATGCCAGCATATTATGAATCCATCAAGGATCACTCCATTGATGAGATCAGAGCCCATATGATGTCTCTGGAAATGTCTTCACAGACACACCCAGAGGTGAGCTTCACTAATTCCCTAGGTGTTTCTAATCAAATGTGTATGATCACAATCACAGCCGACACACTCCAGAAAGAACTCTTACTTTGAAGAATTCATTTTATGTTTTCTTTGTCCTGATTACTAACAAAGAGAAACTTTTTTTTTTTTTTTTTTTTTTTTTGGTTTTTCAAGACAGGGTTTCGCTGTGGCTTTGGAGGCTGTCCTAGAACTAGCTCTCGTAGACCAGGCTGGTCTCAAATTCACAGAGATCTGCCTGCCTCTGCCTCCCATGTTCTGGGATTAAAGGTGTGCAACCTTTAATGCCTGGCAAGAGAAACTTTTTTTTTTTCATTTTGTTGGCTAAAAGAAAGGATTTCACTTAATTTTACTTAGTGAAAATACTTTGGCACTGATTTCCAGGGTAGATATGAAGTATTTGAGTAGACAATTTCTCCAGAGGAGATACAAATAGCCAACAGCACTGGCAGCTTCCCTAAGTGTGATAGTTGAAATGAGAATGGCCTCTATGGGCTCATATATTTGAACACTTGGTCCCCAGTTGGTGGAACTGTTTGGGAAGGATTAGGAGGTATGACCTTGTTGGAGCTGTGTCACTAAGGGTGAGCTTTGAGGTCTCAAAAGACTTGAACTGTTTCCCAGTGTGCCTCTCTGCCTCTTGGATCAAGAAGGGATTTCTCAGGTGCTCCAGCTGTGCCTCTGCTCTGTCATCATGGACTCTAAACCCTCTGAACCTGGAAACCTAATTAAATGCATTCTTTCATAAGTTGCCTTGGTCACAATATTTTGTCACAGCAGAAAAAAAGTAACTAAGACACTTAAAAAATGTATGTCAAAATCAGTGAAGGCTTATGAGATCCACCATGTCTGGTGGGTGAACATGCTCTCCAGATGGTCATTAAGTGTATCCTAGAACACAATAAAACATCCAGGGTCAGGGAGACAGTTCAACTGGTAAAAATATTTTCAAAGCGAACCTGACAGCCTGAATTTGGTTCCCAGATTCCACAATGGAAGGAAAGAAATGGCTCTTTAATGTTGCTCTCTAAACTGCAATATGACACACCTGTACCCACACATCAAACATACAAAACAAGACACATTTTAGCCCCACTAGGACAGTTAAAATATCTCTTGTGGGGGCTGGAGAGATTCCTCAGTGGTTAAGAGCATTGGCTGCTCTTCCAGAGGACATATTTTCAATTCCCAGCAACTGCATGGTGGCTCATCACCATGTATAATGAGATCTGGTGCCCTCTTCTGGCACACAGGCAGAACACTGTGTTCATAATAAATAAATCTTAAAATAAATAAATAAATCAACCTCTTGCAAAAACTAAAATAGACAAGATGGCAAAGACTCAACAAAATTGGAAACCTTTTCCACAGTAGATACGCAAAACAGCAGGATTGGAGATTCTATAATATTTTCTTGAAAATGCTAAATAGAATTATATGATCTAGCAATTCCATTTCAGGATATATGCCCAAAAGAATTCAAAGCAGCATCTCAGATACTTGCACATCCAGATTCATAACATTATCATAACACAACAATCAAAATATAGAAACAACCCAAGAGTTCCAGCCACAAAAAAGAGCAAAATCCTAATACATGCTATGACATGAAGTTTAAAGATACTATGCTAGTCAGAAAAGACAAATACACGATTCCATTTCTATGGGGCTTAGAGTAGTCAAATTCATGAGAACAAAACAATGAGTGTGAAGGGTTTGTGGGGCAGAGAGAATGGCAAGTCGTTTGATGGTAGAGTTTCCATAAAAGCTAGCTGATAGAAGAAGTTCTGGATGTGGATAGTAGTGACAGTTATACAGTATGAATGTACTTATTACCATATGGTGTGAACATGGTTATGATGGTGAATTCTCTGTTTTGTATGTTTTACATCTGGCTTCTGAAATTTTTAAGTCTTGGCTCATCAGTGGTGTTTGTCCTTCCAGCGGTTATAACAAAGGTAGAGTAGCTCCTCTGTTTTGGAGAAAGGAAAGTCAGAGGCCACAATGCCAGCAGATAAGGGCTGCAGTGAAGTCTTGACTCCTAGTGCAGAGATGGCTCCTTCTTTGTTTCCCCTCCCTTTTTGTAAGAGTCAAGGCAGCTGTCTTGTCTTCTTGAGTCTGTTTCATGGAGCTCAGGATGTCTTCAAATTCATGGTGTAGCTGAGGATGGCCTTGAACTCCTGATCTTCCTCTTCTAGTTCTAGGATTACAGGCTTGTCCCCATTACACCTAGGTCAGAGCCCCCTTAAAACATGTTTTAACCTTTATTTATATTTTATGTGTATGGGTATTTTACCTGGGTGCCATGCCTAAGGAAGCCAGAAGAATGTGTTGGATGCCCTGGGACTGTAGTTACAGATGGCTGTAAGCTGCCATGTGGATGCCATGTGGGCCTAGTCCTTTGAAAGAGCTGCCAATCTCTGGATACTGGGAATCAACTCTGGACCTCTGGAAGAACAGCCAGAACTCTCAACTGATTAGCCATTTCTTCAGCCATTTGTCCCCCTTTTAAAAGGTGATAAGATCATCAATATAGGCTGTGTAAATGCCATAAGTATTTCCTATACTCACACCTAATAGCCAATCACTGGTCATTAGGCTTCAACATAGGAATTTGGAGGGAGACTTGAAACATTCAGACTATAGAGATCAATTTTTCTCTACCCTCAACAAATGCAGTGAAGTAATAGCACTTAGAGGTTTCAAAAAGTTTAACTAACCCCTATGCATTTGGGGATCACAAGATACCAGTAGTCAGCTGGGCTGTTGTGGAGAACGCCTTTAATCTCAGCACTCAGGAGGCAGAGGCAGAAGCAGAGGCAGAGGCAGGCAGATCTCTGTGAGTTTGAGGTCAGCTTGGCCAACAGAATAGAATTCCAGGACAGCCAGGGCTGTTACGAAGAGAAACAGTGTCTTGAAAAATTAAAAAAAAAAAAAAAGGTAACAAATAGTTTTAACTTATAACTTGCCAATCACTAATACTGAATATCAAAGTCCAGTTGAGTTTACTTTTTGTTTGTTTGTTTATTTGTTTTTGTCATGATTTTGTGAGGCAGGGTTTCTCTGTGTTGCCCTGGATGTCCTGAACCTCACTCTGTAGACCAGGCTGGCCCAACTCATAGCGGTCTGCCTGCTTTTGCCTCCTAAGTGCTGGGATTAAAGGTGTGTGCCACCATGCCTGGAATTTGTTTTAGGTTTTATAACTTGAAAATATTAGTGTGTTAGTAAAAATTAAATTATAGGGCTATAACCTGTATTACCAACTTCACAACAAGCAAACATAAATACCAGTTCTCTGTGCCCTCTGATGCTGTCCCCACTCAAAGGAAGGGAGCAGATTATAAGAATTATAGATCCCTAGGGCCAGAAATGGGAACTTTAATATATTTTTAGTAACAAATTACTAGCCTGATGATCCACCAAGAACTGATTGATGTATTCTGCCAAATTGTGGTAGGTCATTAAAAGGCTAAATAAATGAGTTATATTTACTAGTAAACACCTATCATGTACGGGTGGGATGGTGGTGATGGGATGGCTTAGTATTTAAGAGCATTTGTCACTCTTCCAGAAGACCTGAATTTAGTTCCCAGAACACACATCT